ATACGTATATACGCACCCACACCCACAAGCACACGCACGCACGCACCCACACCACAAGCACATGTACGCATGCACCCACACCCACAAGCACACGCACGTACGTACCCACCCACACCCACAAGCACACGCACGCGCGCACGCACACATATCATGGTCGTGATATTTCTGGCCATCAAAAGCAGCCTCGAGTCTCGTCGATTTATCAGCCGGGTGTCTAAAGGGTCATTCACTTTATACGACAATTCAACCCCCTCCCTCCCCCCGTTCACCTTCTGCCTCTCGCCATGACATAGTATATAACTCGATAACACGGTAACCCCAAAGAATGAGCAAAATTACTCCAGACCGAAGGACCATTCGAAGGATTTACAACGTGATTCTGATGGTCCTCGTGTGAGTCTTCAAAAAAACACGACACTGGAATCCTCAGCATCCGTGGTTTGAGCCTCGTTGTGTACGTATCCCGAATCTCGCGTCCACAATCGACTCCCCTCCGCGACGCCTGACACACCATTTTTTAACGCACTACCAAGACCCTACCCTTACGCTTTCAAATAAATAAAAAAAATAACTAAGAAATAAATATCGGATTTGTGTATATCTGTAAATCGCTAAGCTGTTGAAATAGCATCACAGCACCCAACCCCTTCCTTCGCTGCCCGAAGGATGACAGCATTTTGCAAATCGCTGCTCGCTCAGCATGGCTGACCCTCGTACGCTTTTCCATCTGCGCGGAAGATACGTAAAAACTTCGCCACCTTGGTCAGATACGCTTAAAAAAACTTGTGTCGTATTTAAGAATATAGAATACAAAACCTGTATTCTCTGTGTGTTAATTGCGCCATTGTCCTTTCCGTACAGTTGAGAGTAATGAAAGATTCATATCACGCAGATATTTGTCAATTCTACAATGCAAGCAGGTGGTCAACCTGGGACACGTGGTGGTTTTACAAGGTCTCTGCAGATGCAAAGGATAAGGGCACCAAAGATTTAATGATCTAGCACATAAACAAACATAAGAAGTATAATGTTCTGGTAGATTATGATAAAAAGGTTAGTGTTAACCTTCCAGCATGCCCCACATGGTCTTGAGGGCTAATCACCTTCAAAGGACAAGCCGTTTAACCAGCCATTAACATACAGACATGGTATGTATGTACGAATATTACACATCATTTACATACCAACCCCGTACACAAATTAAATGAACTGACACCGCAGCAGATGAAGATATAGATAATACATGGGATCAACTAATCACATCACAGAATAGCTTATCGCACTCAGGGCCAAGTTCCTTTCCTTAAATATGGAATCAAAATACAAGACAAAGAAAGATCCAACTGAATTAATTGAAGCTACTAATTATCACAATGCTCTTACATCTCACAGTTGAACAATTACGTTATAAGGACCACTTTAGGCCTCAAAGATCCCTCTTCACCTTTCCATTTATTTTTCATGAGCAGCTGCACAAAGCCCGGTACTGATGTACCAATATACAAGAGGCCTTCGGCAAGACGACCAGCTGTCAAAGCAAGAAATTAACATCTGCACCTCGAAACTTCCCGTAACTGCAACAGATGCAGTTCATGTTCATGTATTTGTTTGTGATTCAGCATGTCTCTTACCAAGCCCTGAACCATACACAGCTGCTGCCCTGTCCTACCCACAAAAAAGGTGGTATGAACTTTTTGTTTCGCCCAATACCTGGCCTTCATACCAAGGTGACATTTACCCGATCTTATCTGTGATGCACACAACCTGGACCTATTGAGTTTTATCCTAGTCCTAGAAGCCCCTTGCTTCAGGCACTGGTTAACTATGCATAAAATATGCAAAGGAAGACTGGGGTTAGATCCTTCCATGAATTACGAGAGCCATTTCTATTTCATCCAGGTATATCCCTCGAGCGATGGAGATACTGGAGCCGTGGTGTGCAGAACACGGCATGGTGGTAGGGACTCGAGGAAGCTTGTTTGCACTAACGTCGGGTATGTTGCGGCAACAGTAGCTTCTCAAAACACGTGGAGAGCACAATTTCCGAACCTACCTCCTACACACAAGTGTTCACGTAACCCTGCCATCTGCTGAGCAACGAGATGCATGCCATGACGTAACGACCTCGCAACCTCTCACCCTATAGCCACGCAGGCAGCACCCCCCCCCCCCCCCGCCAAGCCACACGTGCCACAACAGCGCGGCAGGATCCCTGGCCTCGAGGCTTATCGTGTCGTGGTGGACGAAAAACCACAACCGATACGGCGACGTTTCACCAGATGGACATGGAATCACCAACCAAAGCTTCTCTGGTAAAATCGCTGAAATCTGGATGAAAAAACATCTTTCACGCGAAGAAAAATTGCATCTGGCTACACATAATTCACTACCCTTGAAGCGAAATACTCGACCAAAATGCACAGGTGAGACAAATGAGGCACATGCAAGGGTGCAACAGGTAGGCGCGCGGATGGGCAACGAAAGAAATGGGTGGGTCTGACGGCCGGCTCCTTCCCGAAGGACACGGGATTCCTGCCCCGAATGTCTGCAGGCGGATCGTGGACGGTCTACGGATAGCGCCTCATAAGAGGAGAGGCTGTAAAAAGGCAAGTAAATTAAGGTACATTTAAAAGGGAGCGCAGCACAGGTGTTCGCAGACTACTTGCGATATACCAAGATAAGGCCCCAAGATGGAGAAAGAAAACATGCGAGCGCGATGGAAAGCAATTATGATAACGGTTATGAAAAAAAAAACGAAAAAAGGAAACGAAAGTAACACGAGAACAAAATATTCGGATACGGGAAGACAAATTGACGCTTTTGACCCCTCTTAGCCTCGCCTCCAGCCGCTGTTCGTCGCGCGTTCGTCTCACGTCGGGGCCTGGCATCCCCGGAACCCAGGATTAGCATAGGAATGTCCTAAGTGTTGCGGCATTTCATCGCCAAACACTCGCTCGGCCGCCGTGAGAAGGGGCACACTAAACAGGACGACGAGAGTACAGCATCCACATTTGGCACCACACCGCTCCACCCACACTGATGGCCATCTCAATGCGCCCTTTTAACGCGGTCTTCATCGCCACAAGCATCTTCTGTCACCATAACTTCTAACCTAAATCCCCATTCACTGTTAGGCTAACTCCAGCCACGCCATCTGACCCCTAAAGAGGACGTTATGAGCATGGGTGGGGACGAGGAGGGGCCTAGCATATGGGCGTGGGCGGTGGGGGTGTAGGGGCGTGGAGACGAGGTTGTATAATGTATGGTGGCATGGTCACGAGCCCGCCTCTAGGGATTACCCCTGATCAACATCGCCATTAATTATGTTTCTTGACAGCTAAGGGCATAGGATGCTTATGCTTGATTAGAAAATCGCGGTGGACGTGGTTAGTTTCGCTAAGCTCCACTTGGATGGGGCCCACTTGATTCCTCAGAGAGAGTGTGAGAGTGTGAGAGTGTGAGAGTGTGAGAGTGTGAGAGTGTGAGAGTGTGAGAGTGTGAGAGTGTGAGAGTGTGAGAGTGTGAGAGTGTGAGAGTGTGAGAGTGTGAGAGTGTGAGAGTGTGAGAGTGTGAGAGTGTGAGAGTGTGAGAGTGTGAGAGTGTGAGAGTGTGAGAGAGTGAGAGAGTATCAAGCGCCACCTGGTTTAGAGAGCTAATGTAGATAAGTAACGATGACTGCGGCGTTTTGAATACACTAATGTAAATATAGGCTTGTATACAATTTAATTTCTGCTGCACTTAAATGTTGATTCGGTTCGGCGTGCAAGCAGGCGGCTTCTAACGCGGACGACGCTGAGCCCTGGAGATCCGAATCGGGGCCGCGGATGAAAGAAGCCCATCTGGTTTTAATCATTCGTTGTTCCCTGCGACCCCAGGGAACCCCGCATAGTTTTATACTTTCGCCCAATCGGTCAGCGAACGGATGGGGCCTTCTCATAACCTTCTGCTCCATAGATGGCTCGTAAAATGAAAGAAACAATAACAATGACGTAGATACGAAACAGGACGCAAGATAGAAGGAAAAAATGGCGTGGAGGCATTAATATTTTGTTTCTCCACGTGCAGTTTTCACCCGTTGTCTACTCTCGCACAAGTCGAAGATCAAGACAAACTTTCACTTTCTCACGCAATGCAACAGTGCAACACCCTGCAACAATGGTGACCCGAGGGCGTTTCCAACTCTCCCTCGCGGACCGTGAGGCGTTCCGTGAGGCGTTCCGTGAGGCGTTCCCCGACCCGCCGCCGCCTCCTCCGCCGCTAAAGGAAAAGCATCTCCGGAAGACATTCCTGAGCAACGCGGTCCTACGATCGGAGGAGGAAGGCTCGGGCGGCCGCACGTAATTAACCTGACATTCGCCTCCCGCCAAGCCTACGTGCGGGAAGCCACGAGAAAGCACTACTCCGTCGGAGGGCGTCAGGGGAGACACGGGCTGGGGGATCTAAACAAATGATCGTACCCACTCCAACCGCAGAAAGCAAACGCTCTTATGCAAAGAAAATTAATGTGCAAATACTCTTTTATTCACAAATGTAAAGAAAATCAATATTTGCTGCATTGCCAGGCCTCCATCCGAGAGCCGCCTCCCCTTCATACACAACTCCCACTGAGGATATTCCAAGCGAGATTCTCCTCATCCCGATTCAGGTCGTCAACCAGAGGACGCGTCTGGTTCGCGTTCGCTCTCGACTGCCTGCCAACCCTCACCCTCGCCCTCCTCTCAACCCGCGCCCTCACCCTTCAACCTCAGGCCCTACACTTAACCCACAGCCTTAGACTCGACGCTTGCCCATCCCTTGAACGCCGGGCACCGATCTGGTACTCACCTCGACCTGCGTCTGTTCCGCTGTGGCGTCGCCATTGGGGGCCGCGGTCTTCTCAGCCACCTCCTCGATGGTCTCTCCGCTCTTGGCGTCTTCGGCCTTCACGGGGGCGTCTTCGGTCAGCTCCTTGACCTTGACTTCGGTCTCTGTGCTGCCGTTCTTCTTGGGGCTGGACTGGA